TCTTTATGGGAACTACTGAAGAACTTTTCTGTATGCACCCTCTCCACCCCACTCATGCTTTTAGAGACCTCTATCCTGTCCCCCCTCCGTCTCCTCTTTTCTAAGCTGAAAAGTCCCAGTCTCTTTAGCCTCTCTTCATATGGGACCTGTTCCCAACCCCTGATCATTGTAGTTGCCCTCCCCTCTCCCACCCTCTCTTCCCCTCTCCCACCTCCTTTTCCTAGTTCTCCCCCAGTTTTATTCGATAAAGACAGATTCCATTTTTGAACACAATTGTCCTTTATTTTGTACATCAAGAAAAGGGACTAGGGAAGGATAAGTGGAAGGAGGTGAGGGAGGAATGGGGTACGAGCCCCCGATGGGGAGGACTGGGCTGGCTCTGCGGGCTTCTGGGGGTGGAAGCTCTCCTGCAGCCCCCCAATTGCCCCCTCTCCCCAGATGGCAGCCTGTGGCAAGTGCAGCCGGGCTGATGGCCGAGTGCTGTGATGTGCCCAGTGTGGGCACTCCGGGCACTCCAAACCAGGACTGCTTTGCAAGCAGGGCACCCGAGAACTGTCTGTCCGGGGTGGGGGGCGGGTCCCTTTAAGCGCAGCCCTCGGCTAGCCTGAGACAGCATCTCCACGCTCTAAGTCCTCCTCTGATGCCCTGCCGGCACTGCTTCCAGCCATCCTTAACCCCGGTTCAGGGTCCACTTAATGTGGACATGCTAGTTCGAATTAGCAAAACGCTAATTCGAACTAGTTTTTAGTTCTAGATGCGTTAGTTCGAATTAGCTTAGTTCGAACTAACTAATTCGAACTAAGTTAGTTCAAATTAGCGCTGTAGTGTAGACATACCCTGATGGGGGGGACATTAACTCTGGCCTTTCTTGAATTTTTTTAATTAACTGTGCTCCTACAGCATTAGAAGGTTTCTGTATTTATTGTAAAAGGTTTTACTTGGAATGCTATAGAAACTGCCATCCTAGAAAAGCTTCTACACGCTTATCCACTGGATCAACTAACTCTCAGTGTTCTTGCTAACATTCCTCAGACCTGAGAACATTTACAAATATGCTTAAATGCATGCATGAGATTTATGCCTTTTGATATGAGTTGGGATTACTCACGTATTTAAAGTTAAGAACGCTTGTATTTGCAGGATCACAGCCTGAACTAAACATATGATCTCCCTTGAGCTTTTGTGAAAATTCAGATTGGTGTCTGAATTCAAAATCATTGGCTTTCCTCTTCTCTATACTAAATAAACTGCAGCAATCCCTTCTATCACTCACCCATGAACTTCAAAACCAGATCCAAACTGATCTAGCTGAATTTTAATTTTGGCTTTTGCTGTTTGCATAGGAAAATCCCAATCTCTTCAGTTATGAAACTGAAATGCAGAATGTTGATTTTGTAAGTGCAAGAAAGTGTATTTGCCAGATATTGCTGTTACAGAGTTTTTCAAGTGTGGCCCAAAAACCTTAACTGGAGAACAGTTAAGGGTTTCTTGCCTCAATTTCCAAAAATGTTACTATGTTCAGCAATAATGTATGGTCAAAGAAACAATGGAAAATATGAGTTTATTAGTTTAAAGTGCTTTTTCATGCTTGTCCAACATCATCAACAACTAAAGCATTGATTTAAAATGCTTTTTGGCAAGCAAGCAATTCTGAATTTAGTTTAATGACTTTCTGCATTAAAAAAAAGGCAAATTAAAATGTGTGCAAAGTTGAGGGACAGGTTGTGGCCATGTGTGGCAATGTACAGAGGGCATAAGGCGCTTTTGCCACAAAGCAGCCAATCACAGTTGTAATTTGTATGTAAAGACAACTTCTGGCTAATGCCATTCCAAAGGACTTTAAACCAGCATCCCCACTAAGGCTATGTCTACACTAGCAGCTTCTTGTGCGAGTAATATGCAAATTAGGCTAAACGTGGAATATCGCTGAGTCTCATTTGCATACCTAATGAGCCACCATTTTTTTCAGAAGAGGCTCTTGCGCAAGAAGGAGCGTCTACACTGCCCCTTCTTGCGCAAGAAAAACCCTCTTGCGCAACGCCGTTACACCTATTACTTTTCAGGAAGAACTGCATTGCTCAAGAGGGTTTTTCTTGCACAAGAAGGGGCAGTGTAGACGCTCTTTCTTGCACAAGAGCCTCTTCTGAAAAAAATGGTGGCTCATTAGGTATGCAAATGAGGCTCGGCGATATTCCACGCTTAGCCTCATTTGCATATTACTCGCGCAAGAAGCCGCGAGTATAGACATAGCTTAAACGTTTCCATCCATGTGTGAATTTTTTCCCATCTATTTGTGGAATAAATTTTTCTATGTGCACCAATGCCTGCACAAATGTTCACCACCAGTAGAAACAAAACATAGGTGTGGTAGTTCTGCTAATCAGCTGGGAGGCCTTGGCATTTCTTTTAAGACACTGCCCAAGCGCTCAGCTTATAGGAAACACTGCTTTAAACCCTGCTGCCTATAGAAGGGTAAAGCACATTAGCGCTACCCAAGATAATGAAACATGGCTCTGTGTCCCGTTCTAATGGCTAGATGTATGAGAGTCGGTTACTGAACCTCTGAGCTAAATTTTACAACTGCTGACGTATTTGCATTACCATACAGAGAGACCATTTGAGAGGCTTGAACCCAAGGAAACCTCTGAATTTAAAGGTGGGAGCCCCTATTGCTTGTGCTACGGAAATGTGTCCCTTGATCTAGAGGCCATAGTACAAGATTTATAAACTTGTGAACACAATGTAGTTAGCACACAGGAAACAGAAACTTACACTGGGTTAATGTGAGTTTCACACTTCTACTAGCTGAAGAATTTGTGGAGACACAATGATCCCTATGCTCTGATGAGCACAAACTTGCTCCAGTCTGGCTTATCACAGAGCTATTGCTTATTTTAACACTTTACTCCTAACAAAAATGTGCAATAATGGGTTTCTATCATGGTATATTGTGTACATATGTGAGTTTCAAACCCTTTTAAACAAAAATTCAATACGCAGCTTATTGATGGTGCTTCTCACCATGTACATTTTTAGGCTGTTCTGCTGAACAAAGCAGGTACAGCTCCCTTTTAAATGCTTTGAAGTACACATTTCCATGATAGCAGAGGAGCAGTCATGATTTATCAAGTAAATAATCCCTTACAAATGCTCCAAGGTAATATTCTCTGAAGTTCACATATGTAAAGCTGCAATTTCGGTGAGTCTCTTATGATCAGGTTTGCTGGAAATGCACATTATAGAATTCCATCTTTTTTAATTTTCATGCATCACCATATATGGATCAAGGGAAGCTTTAAAAGGAAAAACCCTATATAAATAGATATAGCCCATCTATAAATATAAATAGCAGTACATATTACAAGCAGGGGGATAAATTACAATGGAGGAATAAAGTAATAGGAAATCATATGTGGGATAGTTGGGGGAAAAAATCCCGCCAATGAGCTTTTTTCAGCTGTGGACTAGTTAGTCTCCTTAAGGAAGTGGTAGATGATTTCATTAGATTGCACTGATCAATTCTGTGAACAGGCGCTACTAAAGCGAGTCATATCTAATGACTACCAATTAATAAAAGAGTTTCTCATGCCAAATTCAGATTGGAATCAATATATTAAATCATGCATGGAGCTGAGAAATGGAAAAGATGAGTCTGTGGTTGGTATTGGTGGTTCTTTTGAGAGAGCATTTCTCTCCATACTGTTGACTGGAGTTTCAATTGCATCCAGACTGCAAGACTGGGCCTCTGGTGAGAAATGAAGGAGATGAAAAGAATAAAAGAGAAGAAAAAGGATTAGGTGTTTTTTTAGGCCTTTTGGATAGGAACTGCCTTTTTGTCGTGAGTTTGCACAGCTCCCTGTGCAACAGGGTTTTGGTCAAGGACAGGCACTCCTAGGCACCACCACAATTCAAATAATAAATAATAATCTATACGTAAGTAAAGATGGTCAAATATTTTAAAGTTTAATTGCATAAAGGTCGATCAAATGTATTTTGAAATCATTGCTTAAATTTGTGATATAATTTATATGGCCACAATCCTATAAACATGTATGCATGTGCTTAACGTTAAGCATGTGAATAGAATGACTGAAAGCAGTAGGATTACTCATGTACTTAAAACTATTTAGAATCTGGCCTAGGTTGAACAAAGCACTGATTCTGGGGACTATTTAGTACTCTGCATAGAGCCAATGATTGTGACATCAAAATATTGTTTTGGTGTTTGCAGGAAAGCATCCTATGAGTTTATAGTTACACCAGTGACCAAAAAACAGTCAAAATTCCTATAAATCACTAAGCTAAACAAATAATGAATGTATGTGTTATGTGTGTTCATAAAGCACATATATATCCCACTCATTAATACCTAGAAGGGATTGTTAATTTATATCCACCATAAGTTATATATTTTATGTTACAAACATTGCTATGATAAGGAACCAGAATATACTCTTACATGTATTGAGAAATATCATTTACCAGATTTTTGCAGTCTAAGAGTGCTTTGGGTTGGGGCGGGGGGAGGTTATTCACTGTGAGCTAGGCTATGGTTTGTTAATGAATATGAATTAGTGGGGGTAAAGGCTAAATCACACTTTGGTCACTTTGCGTGAATAATATCGAACAAATATAAATTTTGTACAATAATTTTGTACAGTAATTTTCTAGCCATGCTTCTGAGCATACTTAAATGACATCTGAGATGAGTTAGAGTCTTTAAAATGACAGTGAATCATTCTTTGTTAAAGAGTTTTTAATTCTTTGTCATATAATTACAAGTAAGTACATAGTTTTCTTTCTCTCACAAAATGTGACAGAAAGCCCTGCACGCTTCTAAGTCAACATAAATCCAGTCAGGGAATCTTCCTTTCTGGGGCTTGAAAGGATGATAGCAGCATGTTCCATGCCCACTAGAAAGTATTTATGCCCAAGGGCAGAGGAAAATATACATGAAAAAAGGTCTATAATCATCCTGCCTTTCATTTTGTTTAATCTAGTTATGCCACGTTTTGCTGAACAAGTTGAGGTTGCCATTGAAGCTTTGAGTGCGAATGTCCCACAGCCATTTGAAGAGAATGAATTCATAGATGCCTCCCGCTTGGTTTATGATGGAGTTCGCGACATCAGGAAAGCTGTTCTGATGATAAGGGTATGTAAGGCACCTGGGAAATAAAAGTTGATGCTTAAAGGAAAGTATCATAGAAGCTGAGAGGAATATAAAAGCTGCCTACCACATACATTGTTTTATAATCAAGAAAAATCATTTGACATGGAAATGAATGTAGAACAAATGTTTGTACAGCAGAAAACTCATGTTAGGAAAGAGATTAGATTGTTTTAACATTTGTGAGTCTGGGGTTTGTAAAAACTGAGGAGCAACAGCAAAGCTTGCAGTCACATGTATTGCTACTAGGTTCCATGCCCTTGAATTGTCACATCTTGCACCCTGTTGTTCCATTCTGTGGCCTCTTTCGAACAGAGTTTGATGCTTGACATTGCATACAGCTTAGGTCATGTAGCCTCCTGTTCCCAAAGAACTAGGAAAAGATGCACCAAAGGAACTTTCATTAATTACCTAGGATGGGATTGGATCACAAGTCTTTGTAGAGGCAAGACCTAGTACAAAAGAATTATTTCAGTGTCAATGCGATAGTTTTGTTAAGAACTGAATTGTATGCGTGGCATATTTTGTTAATCTCTGTATATGTAACACCAACGGGGACCCCTCTGCTCCGGCCCACGGGCCAGATCTGGCCCGCCAAACAATTAAATTCAACCCTCGAGGGGTCCAGCAGACACGAAATGCTGCTTTAAAAACTTCCCCCAGCCTCTCCTGCAGCACGGGCCTAACACTTCCAGTTCCTCTCCTGCATGTGGGAGAGGCGCACAGGAGACCTGGCTGCAAGGGGAAAGCTCCACCTGCTGGAGCTCCTGAGTAAACAAGAGCTCCAGCGTTTCTGTGTTTACTGCCCTCCCCCTGCACCAGGCATCTGGGCAGGGCTGGAGCATGCAGAGACCAGGAGGGAATGGGGAAATCCATCCACAGAGTGGGAGGGAAAGGAAGCCCCTGAGTCCCCCTTCTCTGCATGGGAGAGGCCACAGTGGGG